CTATGAGTTGACAGTGCCCACGGAGGTGACAGGTGGCCTTGCCACGCAGTCCCGGGGTCTTGTCTGTGCAACAGAAAAGAGTTTCACGATGCAGTTGGTGGAGGGTGTTAGGCATTTCATTAGGGCTGGCCTGGAAGATGGGAACTCTGCCGACCCTATCTAGGCGGTGAATTTGTGTCAGGTTTTTCTTTGCGCTGAGTGGGAAGTTAATTAGCTACGGAATCCTGCTCTGAGACGCCTGCCGTGGTGAAGGGTTAGCTGATCGCAATGCCCACTCCTAAGGGAGGGTTTCTCACGCTCTGTAGAAACACGTGGCCGACACCATCGTGCGCCCCCTCGCAATGTGGTTTGTTGCCTGGTTTGTGTATTTTATTTGTGGGAGGTGAGTGGTGGCTTATGTATGAATCCCTTGTTCTGCTTTGGAAGCAGGTAAACTGCAAGTTAGCCTTGGCACTTTGGGGGGGTGAAAGTTAATCATGACCAACATTGACCAGACAGACGGTCCTTTCTCACACCCAGCTGCACCTTGCTTAAAGCGGAGTGTGGAATCTCCCTCAGAAACGAGAATTTTCATGACATTTTTACAGAACAAAAACAAACCACCCCAAGCCTTCGGAGTTGCTTCATCGACATGGTTCTCCACAGTGCAGCTTGGGGGCGGCGGGGGGGGGCAGCTGTCGGTGTGGCAGCGCAGGTGCTCAGTGGTCCTTCCTCTTTCCCGCTTCAGCACCCTTAGACCTTCCGTGGTGGCCCTTCTATACCGTTTCGTACTCTAAAAGCTTTAGCAGATGCGTTTCTGCTCCTTTAAGTGCCTAATTCCAAAATAGGGTCAGGAGGAACTCCTACTTTCCTTTCAGAGTGAATCCATAAGAAGCTAAAAATGGATTTTTAAGGGGCCACCCCTTGCTGGGAGATGGAGCATAGGTGGGGGAGGGTAAGAGAATGGGGTTTGTCCCTTTTTTCCTCAGTGTTTCTTCTTGACTTTGCCAGGATCTAGCTTGATGCTAAATCAGTAAGTGCTTCGAAAAAAAAAAAAAAAAAAAGAAGTTGCAAAGCGAGGCATTTTCTGGCCTGTCCGAAATGGACGTGTTCCACTGCCGTCTGCTCCACCACCTCTTAGAAGGAGCGGTCGCCCTGTCAACATAGTCTTCGTGTCCCGTGTTCAGATGCCCCCACTCCTCCCCACGACCACGGAAACTTCCTATCACGAGGAGGGCAGGAGGGGGGAGGGGCGCACCAGAAACGCTCCTAGCCAATCAGGGCTCCTCGCTCCCTGCGCAGGGTTTCTAATTTTATTTGACATTTGAGGACATTTTAACAAGATTCTGTTTTGAGCCCACCAAGTTGCTTTTCCCATCTTTTTCACTCTGCCCTAATATAGCATGGAACGCTGCTGGATGTCATTCCCTTGTTTCCTGTTATTTTTTCCCCTCTTTCTCTCATTTGTCCCTGTCCTCTCTCCCATTTGTCCCTGTTGCTTTCTCAGTTTTGCTTATGCCCCCCACCCCACCCCCTTTCTTCTCCCATTTTTAAAATGCATGGACATAGTTTTTTGAGCATGTTTTGATCTGCAGGCTAAGGTGGTTTAAAACTCTGAGAGGCTTAATTATTTGTCTTGAGTTTCTGGGACGGGAGCAGAACCCACAGTCTATTTCAGTCTATCCCAGAGGAGAAAAAGAAACCTTGTCAAATTGAAGGTGAAGGGGGGCGCTGCCCTTGCTCTCCTAGAGTTCCTTTCGACCCAGAGCAGGGATGGATAGACCCTGAGGCCACCAGTCCAGTGGGTCTTGGCCTCTGGGAGTCAGGAAGGGCTGAGCGTGTGCCCTTTCACCCCCCCTGCTCTCCTTCCTCCTGCCATCTTGCGGAGTCCACACCCCACGCACCGAGGGGCATCATCAGACGGCTGTGGGGTACAGAACCAAGGAGGAACTCATTACGCCCACTTCCTTTCAAAGGCCAGTGACATCTGACAGTGGTTGCCTTCAACCAGGCAGCATCTTAGTTGCTTTCCCATGACCGGAAGCCAGCCGGCGCTTACAGACAGAGCGTTATCAGCTGTAGTTCTGACTATATTCTCCTTAGATCAGCACGTTCCCTGTATCTGTATTACTTTTATAGCACGTGTGGGGTTGATCGCCAGGATCACTCTTTCTACCAAATATTATCCCATCAGACTGGGATGAGTAATAGGAGAAGCTTTGAGGTCACACGCTTAATGTCTTGAATTGATGTCCCCAACTTTAGATGATAAGCAAGAGAGGCTCTGAAGTTCTCATTCCTATTTCTTACATAAAGAGGAAATGGAGAGGGGAGATTCTCGTTTTGGTGCAGGGCAAAATTAGTCTTTCTGGTTTAAACCCTAATCCTGAGGACCCCATTCAACAAGGTCCATATGCTGTGATTCCCTGGCACTTCTTTGTCATCACTTCCTTGTGACAGGCTGTACCCTCCCTTCACTGGCCCCGGCATGTGGACCAGGGCAGGATGCCCCTCCATCCTATCCTCACTGTCTCTCCTTCTAGCCTTCTCACTGTGGGGTGGGGGAGGGGAAGACCCCAAATCTTAAAAAAAAGAAAAAATCAAGTTTGAATCATAATTTAATCCACAACCTGCAGGCCATACAACCAGTTATTCTCGTTCCTTTGGATCATTTTCTGTTTTTCTTATTCTTCCCCCTCCCCCACCTTTGTTTATCCTCTTCTACCTGTTTTTTGGTCGTTTTTTTGTTTTGGTTTTTTATTTTTTGTTTTTGTTTTCTTTTTGAGTTTATTTGGTTTTCTTTTCGTTCCCCCCCTCCCC